GCTGTTGATAGAGCGCTAGCCTTGAGCTGAAGAGCTGAGGGTCAGCGCCCAGGCCCAGAGTTCAGGCCCCATGACTGGCAAAAAAAAAAAAAGTTTATGCACGTAGTCTTCTAGTGCTCAAAAAACAGTACCAGTGCCAGTACAGTCTAGTATTGCAAGATAACCATATCATGGGATATGCTTTCAATAAAAATAAAATACTATTGCCAGACGCCGATGGCTCACGCCTGTAATCTTAGCTACTCAAGAGGCTGAGATCTGAGGATCACAGTTCAAAGCCAGCCTGGGCAGGAAAGTCCGTGAGACTCTTACCTCCAATAAACAACCAGAAAAGCAGAAGTGGTGCTGTGGCTCAAGTGGTAAAGAGCTCTCCTTGAGCTAAAGAGCTGAGGGACAGACAGCACCCAGGCCCAGAGTTCAAGCCCCATAACCAACCCCCACCCCCACCCCACCCCCAAAAAAGTACCATTATCCTTTATTTCATAAAGCCAGCCAAATATACTTCTTTTTGACAAGCAGTGAACAGAAAACTCTTATGCTTGTTTTGTTCTTTTTGTCTTGCAATACTAGACTGTGAACTCAGTCACATACTTACAAGGTGGGTGTGCTACCACTTAAGTTACACTGTGTTGTCTTTTTGTTTTTGTTGTTTTTTTTTTTTTTTTTGGTCCGGTCGTGGGGCCTAAACTCTGGGCCTGAGTGCTGTCCCTCAGCTCTTCAGCTCAAGGCTAGCACTCTACCACTTGAGCCACAGTGCCACTTCCGGCTTTTTTCTTTTTGCTTATGGGGTGCTGAGGAATCGAACCCAGGGCCTCAGGCATGCAAGGTAAGCGCTCTACCACTGAGCCAACTTCCCAGCCCATGTTTTTGTTGTTTTTCAGATAGGGTCTCAACACTTCTTCTAGGAACTGGTCTTGGACCACAATCCTCCTACCTATGTCTCCTGCCTACATATAATTATGGGTACAGGCCACCAAGCCCAGCTTATTTGTTGAGGTGCAGTTCACTTTTTGCCTGAGCTGGCCTCAGTAACTGGGATTAGCCTGGGCAAGTCCTCTAATGAAGATCCTTCCAACCTCTGCCTCCCAAGTAAATGGTATTACAGGTGTATGCCACCACCCTGACCACTTACTGACATTTACATTTTTACAAACACGTCTAGTAATCTGATGTTTCACATACTTGCCATGTGACACTCTTTGTCTTGTTAGTCAAGCAAGACGTGAGGATCTTTGCATAGATCAGTGAGACTTGTTTGGGAGGCCATATTGACCAATGAAATACACAATCTATCCAAGGCTGGCCACTGACCCTAAGCTCTTTTGCTCAAGGCTAGTGCTCTACCACCTTGAGCCACAGCTCCAGTTCTGATTTTTCTGGTGGTTAATTGGAGATAAGAGTCTCACAAACTTTCCTGCTCCGGCTGGCTTTGCCTGGCTGATTTTGAACCATGATCCAGGATGTCAGCCTTCTAGGTCACTAAGATTACAGTCATAAGCCACCAGTGCCCAGCTATATATGTTATTTTTGTAAGCTAGCCTTCCTTGGTTTAACATGGTAGGCATTTTAGGGATTAAGAGAGTCGTTGAGCGATTTTAGAACCACATTTAAGGCATAGTAAAGTGGGGAGAAGTTGGAGGCTTACAGGTGTTGAGACACTTCAGTTATGTGTGATCTTAAGTGCACTTTAGGACTTCCGTTGTTTATCTATAGTGTGTGGGGTTCAGTCTTTGTGTAATCCAGTGATAAACCAATTAACTTGTATAATTTATGGACTACGATTTAGGGGGGAAAAAAACAAACCAGAATTGGGAATGTGGTAGAGTGCTTCCCTAGTATGTATGAGCTCTGAGTTCAATTCCTCAGCACCACATAAACAGAAAAAACAGTAATGATCACAGTAATGAGTAAATACCTTGTTGAAAGTGACATAAATCTAGATAATCTGATGGCCGTGAAGATGAAAATGAAAATAGACTGAAAAACTTCCAGGATAAAGAGAGGTCTAAGTAAATGAAATGCATCATAAAGAACAGAATTAGCTGGGCTCTGGTGGCTCACACCTGTAATCCTAGCTACCTGGGAGACTGAGATCAGGAAGGAACATGGTTCGAGGCCAGCCCAGGCAAAAAAGTTCACAGGGCTGCATTTCAAAGGAAGAAGCTGGGCATGGAAGTGCACTTGTATCATCCCAGCTATACTGGGGAGCAAAATGTAAGAGGCTTGTGTTCCAAGTTTGTATGCTAAAAAGAGCTAGAGACATAGCACAACCATAGAGCACCTGCCTAGCAAGCGCAAGACCCGAGTTCAAACCTTCAGCAGCCCTCCCCCCACACACAAACACAAATAAAAAGAAAAGGTAAATTAAGCAGACTCTAAAACCAAACTCTTTGGAAACGAGAGGAAGAATGTGATGATAAATAACAATTGAGGTGGTAAGGTAGTATCTCATGGTTTTGTTTGTTTCATTTTTCCTTTATGAGAGAGCTATACAGGGTATAATTGTAAATCTATTAGCTATTATAGAGCAAGGTCAAATGGAAAATACCCATCAGAGTTTTAAAATTTTAGATTTAGGAACTATGTGCATGTAATTCATAGATTAAATTATCTGTGAACAAAATCTGAGTGAACTTTTATGGTGAATTTTGATAAGAATAAAGTAGGACTAGTTAAAAATGTTTTCAAAAGTTGGTTGGGGCCGGGCGCTGGTGGCTCACACCTGTAATCCTTGCTACTCAGGAGGCTGAGATCTGAGGATCGCGGTTCAAAGCCAGCCCAGGCAGGAGAGACCATGAGACTCCTATCTCCAATAAACCACCAGAAAACCGGAAGTGGCGCTGTAGCTCAAGTGGTAGAGTGCTCGCCTTGAGCTGAAGAGCTGAGGGACAGCGCCCAGGCCCAGAGTTCAAGCTCCACGACCGACCAAAAAAAAAAAAAAAAAAGTTGGTTGGGGGGGGTCTGGGAATGTGGCTCAAGTAGTAGAGTGTAGTCTTGAGCAAAAGAAGCTTAGGGATAGTGTCCAGGTTCTGAGATCAAATCCCAGGACTGGCAAAAAAAAAAAAAGTTGGTTGGGCATGGTTGCTCTAATTTGTAATCCTAGCTACTTAGGAGACAGAAACCAGAAAAATCATGGGCAAAAAGTGAGATCCTGTCTCACTAAAAAAAATGTGTAAAAAAAAAAAAATAGCTCAGGTAAAAAAAGGTTTGAGATATGGCACAATTGGTAGAGTACCTATCTAATAAGTGCAAGACCTGCATTTATAAACACCAGTATAGCAGGAGGAGAGAAGAGAGCTCTTTGTTTAAGCTGTGCCTTAAGAATAAATTGTGCCACCAGGAATGCTAATAATGTCACCATGGTCTCCATTGCAATGGAGTTTTGCTTGAATTAGGCTACCATGATTTTGCTATGGTATTTTTATTGTAATGGGATTTATGGCACATTTGATGCTGTTATGTAGTATAGAAAACTTAGATGGGAAAGAAAGCACTAAAGAGAATGCAGAATATTTTAAAATGACATGTTTTGCAGGACAGTAGCGTACACTTTTTAAGCTCATTCCATCCACAGGAAGTAGCAGCAACAGCAGTCATACAAAGGTAGGCATTTGAAAATCAGAAAAGGGTCCTAGAAGTCACTTCATCCAGTTTATGGTTGTAATGAAGTGGAGTTAATGATTAGGCTAAGACTGACTAAGGAGGTTTCTCTTGGCTCTTGCAATTATTCTCCTGTAACACAGGTAGACTTGCCTTCTTTAAACATAGAAATGAGAAACTTTTGTATTAACCTACAACTTTGTACTTTTATAAAGTAATAGGGAGTGAGGGGGATGTCTGTGGCTCATGCCTTTAATCCTAGTTACTCAGGAGGCTGAGATCTGAGGATCATGGTTCAAAGCCAATTCAGGCAGGAAAGTCTATGTGGCTTTTATCTCCAGTTAATCACCAAAAAAGCTAGAAGTGAAACTGGAGCAGCGCTCTTGAACAACAACAACAAAGAAAAGTCAGGGACAGTGCCCAGGCTCTTAGTTCAAGCCCTAGCCTAGAGATAGGGAAGGAGGGAGGGAGATAATTTTTAATTTGCAATAATAGAACCCAACAGCTCATTGAGTTATTTTAGAAATGAGAAAAATGTAGTTTTGTTTTGATTGGTAGGTGAATTCATTTCATCTGGTATCGATTTAGACAGTATTTTATGTAAGATAATAGTAAATTTAGTAGGTTTTTTTTTCATTTTATTTTATTTTGTGAACATACTGTACAGAGGGGTTACAATTACATGGGCAGGATAATGCGTACATTTCTTATCAAGCATTGCAGCCTCCTCCTTTGTTTACCCTTCACATCCCTTCCCAGCTTCCCCCCCACCCCCCCAACCCGTCCTCCCCCCTCCCCCCTAGTAGGGGTTTTAAATACTGATTTTTCACTGGGGAGATTATGGGTTATGGGGAACATCTTTATACACCATTGGTAGGAATGTAAATTCAGTGTGGAGGTTCCTTAAAACACTAAAAATAGGGGCTGGGAATGTGGCTCAGTGGTAGAGTGCTTGCCTAGCATGCATGAAGGCCTGGATTCAATTCCTAAGTACCACATATACAGAAAAAGCCAGAAGTGGCACTGTGGCTCAAATGGTAGAGCGCTAGCCTTGAGCAAAAGAAGCTAACGGACAGTGCTCAGGCTCTTGAGTTTAAGCTCCAGGACTAGCAAAAACAAAAGCAAAAAAAAAAAAAAAAAACTAAAAAAAAAAACTACCACCACTCTTGGGCATTTACACAAAGATACAAAAGAGACATTGCACACTTAAGTTTACTGCAGCGCTATTCACATAGCCAAGCTGTGGAAACAGTCTTACAAATGATGATTAGATCAATAAAATATGGTGTGGGGTGTATGTGTGTGTATCCAACTAGTTGATGGTAATAAATAAAAACTAAATAAGTGAATGAATAAATACTTAAAAGTTTTTAAAAACCCTGATCTTTCTTTATAATTAGCAAGAAGTTGAGAAGTTTACAGACCTAGAGAAACTCTACCTCTACCTTCAGCTGCCTTCTGGTCTCAGCAATGGAGAGAAAAGGTACACCTATGTTTATGCTGCTTATTGACCATTCCTAGGATGCATGTATGCTGTGTTGTCACTGTTACTGTGTTAGAAAGTTTCTAAAGCTGTTAGTAACAGAATAGTAGGCAAAATAGTAGGGTTTTGTTGTTGTTGTTTGTTTTGTTTTTGTCAGTTGTGGGGCTTGAACTCAGGGCTTAGGTGCCTTCCTTGGGCTTTTTTGCTCAAGGCTGGTGCTTTACCACTTTGAGCCACAGTGTTACTTATAGTTTTCTGGTGGTTAGTTGGAGATAAGATTTTCATGGACTTTCCTGCCCAGGCTAGCTTTCAACTGTGATCCTCAGATCTCAGCCTCTTGAGTAGCTAGGATTAGGTTCTTTGGTAATTCAGTTGAGTACTTGCAATTTTTACTAATTAGTTTATGCAGTTGGGTAAGTACTGTGTAATGCAATTTAGGTTATTTTTTATGGACACTTTTTTTTATGCAGCATGAGAAGTTGTGAAAACTGAACAGAAAACAAAATACATATATAAGTATTAGAAGAATTCAGGTGCTGTCCGGTCAGTACATCACAGAAAGTAAAAGGAAAAAGTAAAAAATGAATGTTAATTCATGATAAATATAAGTTGTTTTAAGTACTTGATATTGCTTTAGTTTCATCATTAAAAAATACCTCTTCTAGAAAATGAGAAAAACGGTTCTTTAGTCATACTATTAAGAGAATTTCCTTGCCCTTAGTATCTTAGAGTTCATTGCATTTATAATTGTACTCAACATCTACTTTTAAAAAGTTGTACCTAAAAAGAAATGGCAATGAGATAGGCACAGATATATAGATACTGAGCAGTATCTTTTGGGGATGGATTCAGTGTTCTTAGAAAGGTAGCTGTGATGAGAGTGAGAATCAGCACAATAGCTTCCTTATATTGCCTCTGCTGTCCTTAACAGGGGGACTGTTTACAAATTATACTTCTTTTTTTTGGGTGGGGGGTCCGGTCGTGGGGCCTGAACTCTGGGTCTGAGCGCTGTCCCTCAGCTCAAGGCTAGCGCTCTGCCACTGGAGCCACAGTACCACTTCCGGCTTTTTTTCATTTTTTTTTTGCTTATGTGGTGCTGAGGAATCGAATCCAGGGCCTCCTGCAAGCAAGGCAAGCACTCTACCTCTGAGCCACCTTCCCAGCCCCTACAAATTATACTTCTGAGCCCCAAAACTTACCATGTCCAGTGGACAGCTAGATGGGACCTACTTGGAGTAGTTTTTCCTTTCAAGACCTTTCCCATGAATTCTACTCTGGAATTAGAGGCATTTAGTAAGATTTCGTTGTTGTTCTGCATTGTATAATTCTTTTAGTATGCTGAACAAGTAGTAAATAAACTCTTATTTTAATGTTTGCTTTTTTAAGTTTCATGATTTGGTTTAAACTCTTTTTTGGGGTGGGGGGATATTGGTTGTGGCTTTAACTCAGTGCCTGGGCACTGTCCCTTAGCTTTTATACTCAAGGCTAACGCTCTACCACTTGGAGCCACAGCTCTCCTTCTTGTTTTCTGAATAGTTTATTGGAGATAAGAGTCTCATAGACTTTCCTGCCTGTGCTGAATTCGAACTGTGATCCTCAGATCTCAGCCTCCTGTGTAGCTAGGATTATAGGCTTGAGCCTGGTACATAGCTTAAACAGTCTGTCTGTCTGTCTGTCTGTCTGTCTCTCTCTCTCTCTTAATGTTTATTTTTTAAAAGTTTCATGGTTTGGTAAATGTGGTTAAATGGACAGTCAAGTAAACCCATAAATATCCACTGTGAGGTAATTTTGATCAAAACCAATACTAAGTTTTGTCATTACTCTGACACCATAGAAGTCATAGAAGGGGTGCAACCAGCAGTAATTGCAATCTGAGGCTAGTTGTAATTAACCACTCACAGCCACAGCTGGACAATTTGTATATCGATCACTTGGTATCATCAACATGTACTAAATTCTGCTTGGTCACTTATAGTGCTTGTACATAGTGTGTTAATGGAACATGTAAGCCTCACTCAAAAATCCGTATGTGAGTTACGATCTAGTTCAGCTAAATATGTTTCTATTTTCTGACTAGTGATCAGAATGCCATGTCATCGAGCCGGGCACAGCAAATGCATGCCTTTTCTTGGATTCGGAATACCCTGGAAGAACATCCTGAGACTTCCCTCCCCAAACAGGAAGTCTATGATGAGTACAAGTAAGTGTTGTGTGTGTGAGACAGATTGTGATACGTTAAAATATATATTAACAACTGTGATTAAATACTATATGCAGCTACAATGTTTTTATCACTGATGAATATCAGGCTGATATCTGGGAGTTGCACTTAGAAATCTCTAAGATTCCTTCCAGCTCCTAGCGTCTGTAGTAGTGTATAATACAGGGCAAGATTACTGAATAAAAGGACTTTTCCAGCTGGTCACTCAACAGTGGCACATCCCTATAATCCTAGCTGCTCAAAAGGCTGATCTGAGGATTGTGGTTCAGTGCCAGCCTGACCAGGGAAGTCCCTTGAGACTCATATCTCCAGATAAGCACCAAAAAGCCAGAATTGGTGGTTCAAATGGTAGAGAACCAACCTTGAGTGAAAAAGCTAAAGGACAGCACCCAGGCCCTGAGTGCAAGCCCCAGTACCAGCACAAAACAAAACAACAGGGGCTGGGAAGGTGGCTCAGTGGTAGAGCACTTGCCTTGCATACATGAGGCCCTGGGTTCGATTCCTCAGCACCATATCAGCAAAAAGAAAAAAAAAACAGAAGTGGCACTGTGGCTCAAGTGGTAGAGCGCTAGCCTTGAGCTGAAGAGCTGAGGGACAGTGGCCAGGCCCAGAGTTCAGGCCCCACGACGGGACCCCCCCAAAAAAAATTAAAAAACAAAACAAAACAACACAGAAAGCCCATGTAGCTTGGACAAATGTCATATTGTAAGTTAAAGATGCATGAAGTTTTTTTAGCTCTAAAATTATAAAAGTTGTCTGAAATAGGAACTTTCCAAATGACATGCTAGTTTGCAAAAGACAAACTGGGCAGATGAATTCATGACATTTTTCACAGTAAGAGAACCCAGGATATTTGTATATTCAAAATACATTGTTCATATTGCCAGAGATATGGCCAGTAGACCTGGTCCATGAAAGCAGTCTATATTTTCCTAAAAGATTCCTACTTTGGTAAGACATGGTTATATTCTTCCATAATACTCTGAATTTGTCTTTCTTGTAAAGGTCTTTCAGAGACTAAATTTTTTTTTTTTTTTTTTGCAAGTCTTGGGGCTTGAACTCTGGGCCTGGGTGCTGTCCCTGAGCCCTTCAGGCATCAGCGCCACTTCCGGTTTTCTGGTGGTTAATTGGAGATAAGAGTCTCATGGACTACTTTCCTGCCCGGGCTAGTTGAACTGCAGTCCTCAGATCTCAGCCTCCTGAGTAGCGAGGATGACAGGCGTGAGCCACTGGCGCCTGGCTTATCAGAGACTCAATTTTTACTTAAGTGCAGATGGCAGCAGCTAGGCATGTCAAATCAGATCTGAGGACAGTCTGTTTGTAAAGTGCCCTCGAGGCCCCTTTTTTTTCTTTCTTCAGCCTCATCTTTTCTTCTCTACCTCATCTTCCTTTTTTTTTTTTTTCCTGTGAATCACTTATTGCTGCCAAATAGTTTTGATTTTCAAAAACTCACTTTTTCATAGCATCCCCTCCTATTTGGTGGTTGTAATTAATGTCTCCCCGTATCTTTGAGAATATACAGCGGAAGAATTCAGGAGTTAGGTTTACTTAATTCATTTTTATTTCTACAAATAATATGCAAATATATGCTTATAAGAAAATTGTGGCTCAAGCAGTAGAGCGCTTGCTTTGAGCTGAAGAGTGCAGGGACGGCTCCCAGGCCCAGAGTTCAAACCCCACGACCGACCAAAAAAAAAAAAGAAAAAGAATATTGGAAGTATAGCATCAAATTAAATTCTTTTCTATTCCCTTCAATTTTCTAATAGATTTAAATATTAGCTTTATTTTTCTATATATGAGTTACATTAATTTTTAGTAAATTTTGCCTTTTATTCTTTTTACTTGAAGTGAAAACATTATATATGTTATATATATTGTTGGGTTTTTTTTTTCTTTTTTTTGGGTCCGGTCGTGGGGCCTGGACTCTGGGCCTGGGCGCTGACCCTCAGCTCTTCAGCTCAAGGCAAAGCGCTGAGCCACAGCGCCACTTCCTTCTTTTTGTGGTGCTGAGGAATCGAACCCAGGGCCTCATGCATGGAAGGCAAGTGCTCTACCACTGAGCCACCTTCCCAGCCCCAGGTGGAACTTTTTTAAGTCTTCTATTGATAGGCATTTAGGTAGCTCCTAATTTTTTTTTTTTACTAGAATATAGATTTTTACACTTGTATACTGAAGTAATATATTGTTGAAGTAATACTGAAGTGTAAGTCTTGTATAAGGGGAATCATTGGATCAAACGTTGCAGTTTTGAGCTGGGCGCCAGTGGCTCACACCTGTAATCCTAGCTACTCAGGAGGCTGAGATCTGAGGATCATGGTTCAAAGCCAGCCCAGGCAGGAAAGTCCATGAGACTCTTATTTTGCAATAAACCACTAGAAAACCAGAAGTGGTGCTGTGGCTCAAGCGGGAGATCGCTCACCGTGAGCTAAAGAGCTGAGGGATAGCGTCCAAGCCCAGGGTTCAAGCCCCACGACCAACAACAACAAAAAAAAAGCTGCAGGTTTGAGGGCTAAGGCTCTAGCTTAGTGGTAGAGCATTTGCCTTGTAAACACGAGGCATGCATGAGGCTCTGGTTCATTCCCTAGCACTGAAAGAAAAGTAGCCACAACTTTTTGCCAATTTTCTGTTTGATTTTTAAATGATTACAATATTCAGATAGTTGTAAAAATAAAGAAAATAAAAGATACACAGGGAAGAAATTCCATCATACCTTTGCCATCTCCATAACAACAACTTTGTTTCTTGTATATTATGCCAGCAGTATTTTATGATTGTGTGTAAATAAAAACACGATTACAAACTTTTTCTTTTCACAATTGACAGCATGCTATATGTTTCTGTATTTGAATTTCTTCATCCAGCACCATAACCTGTGATCATTTCTTAATGAAAATTAATTATACTTAGTAACTATGGTACTTAGATATCAATTGACATCTTGTTTGATTTTAACCTTTTAGTAATAGAAACACTGATGCTGTGAGTGAACACATGTATCCTCAGTATCTCAGTAACCTGAATTCTAAAATGACTACATTCTTGAGCATTGTAATTTGGGTAGCAGTTTCCTGACATGTAGGAACAGTCTTCTTTTTTTTTTTTTTTTGGTCTTTCATTTCCTGCTTTGTCTTTACTTGCCCTTTTATTGCTATTCTTAGCTTTTTCACTTTTTGTTCTCTCTATGTAGGAAGTTGTCTTCTTGGGTCTAGTGATCTTTTTGTTATCTGTTTATAGTCACCATGGAAAGCATACCTTTGGAAGTGCCATGTATCCCAGATCTTGTCCTCTGGTGTTATGTGTGTGTGTTTGTGTGTTTGTGTGTATGTGTGTGTGTGTTTGTAAAATGTAGATGCATTATAATGGAATCACATTTTATATTAGATCTTTTTTGCCTTGTACATGGCAATTTTTTTTATATATTCAGGGTAATTTAATCCTAAATTAATTTTGTTGATTTCAACAAAGCAACCCTTCCCACGTATTTTTCATTTGTGTGGTTACCTAAAATTATTTTTCAGGTGAATATCTGATCTTAGTTTAATCTTGCCTTAATAAAACTTCTCATGAAGGCCTAAAGTAAAAGATACCGTAAGCAGTAGCATCTTCAGCCTTGTACAGCTATGCTACCCTTGGGACACTGTTCTCAGGTGTCATACCAAATGCTGGAGCCCAGGGGACTTCAGCAGGTCTCAGTCACATGTCACTGCCCAGGACAGGCTGCAGTATGACAAAGACAGAACGAACGGTCAAGAACAGATACTTCCAGATTTTGCTTTCCTTGAAAGTTTTGGAGGATTTCAGTAGCTATTCCACTTTGAATGGAATAGAGTGAATTTTTCATTTGATCGTATTACTTTTCCTTCTTTTGATTCCAGACTATCGACCAAATGTATTGTTTAACACCTTAAAGAAAACATCATTCTCCCATATCTTCAGAACATCCCTAAATTTCTTATATTGTGATCTGTACTACCTGAATGCTGGGTCACTAAAATCTCAGTACGATTTAGCTATAAAGGAGCTTTGATTGGAGAAATGCCAATGCTTAATAAGTCTTTCTCTTTATAAGTATTTGATATGGTTTTAGTTACAGCCCAGGCATTCATTACACTTACAGTTATTAGCAATAGAAGTATGTACAAAAATTGAATGAGATTAGACCAGTTAGATTCTTTCCAGATATCCTTCTCTATACAAGTTCTTCATCTAGAATGTGTATTTAATAGGCCGAGCAAGTGGTTCACACTCTCTACTTCCCAGCTGCTTAGGAAGTGGAGATTGGAAGGACATTGTTCAAAGCCAGCCCTGGCCTTGAAATGGACATGATATGGCACAGCTATAATTCCAGCTACTTTGAACGCCTTCATGGTCTGAGACCAGCCCCGGGCAAAAATTCAGGACCTTACCTGAAAAATAACAATGGCAAAATAGATCAGGGTATATGGCTCATGTGGTAGAATGCCTAGCTATGAATCATGAGGCCATGAGTTTATATCCCTTATACCTCCCTAAAAACACATGCCTGCCATCTGCATTTTTGTACCATTAAACAATATTTGCCTTCAACTTTTGTAGCTAATATGTAAGTGACATGAATAATAAGTACAAGGTTGAATTGGTACCATAGATTTTGAGTGGCTTATTCATGATCATATCGAATATTAGGTTAGCTTTCATTTTTAAAACATAATTTAAAATAAATAACAAGAAAAAATATAATTTAAGAATAACATTCAAGTATTAGCTATCTTGTGAACAGAACATTCTTTGTTCCTTACTTTTTTTTGAGTCTCACATAAATATAATTTGATGCTGAGTCGAGGCGTTAATTGATACATATCTTGCCTAAACAACCTGCAATTAAAGACTGAAGCAGGAAAATGAGATGTAAACTAATGAAGGTCTCTGCATGGCCTGAAATGACCTACAGCTTGAAATGAGAGCACTGGTTTCACTATTATGAAAAGATACCCTGTAAATGCTTGCTAAATTACACTTAAAACAGAATCATTGAATATGTTCATCTTTCTAATGGGAAAGAGGCGCTAACCACAGAATACTTTTTCTTTAAAGTTTGAACCACTGAGATTTAGACAGGCCATCTCACAACATAGAGCTATTCCATCAAGGGAAGTGTTCATATTGAGGTGTGACCCATTATTGGGAGTGTGTTCATTTCCACATATGGCAAGAAATGGAACTATATAACTTCTGAATGTATTTCCAGTTCTAAGCTTTTGCAGAATTAAAGAAGTTAGGGAAGAGGGGTGGGGAGAACACTAGATATTAATCTTATCAGTAAAGTAAGAAAGTTAGTACAGATCTCTGAGGTCCCTTCTAGTCCTAGTGTATCATGTTCCCACATCTTAAACCATCTAGTAGGCTCATCTAATGCCCTTCATGCTTGATGTTCTGTTAAAAGTTGTACTGGTTGTAAGCCTCATGATTGTGAAAGAGCCCTATCAGATGGGCTAGATGTACTCATACAGAACACAAGTTGAAGTATGCTTAGAAAGCTTTGTATTCTATCATACTGCAAACTTCCTGGATACTGTTCAAAGCAATGCTGCATAGAGTGAATCCAGCTAATTAAGTCTGAGCTAATTCTAATTCATGTCTCCAAAAAGTAGTGATCCCATAAATTGTGGTGGATTACTGGAAATCCATTGTTCCCTTTGTCAAAGGGATAAAATTGTATGTAGCACCATGCTGTGGAATGATGAATTCTATCACTCTCTCAACTGGTCCATCCTTCTTTTTGCAGGAGCTATTGTGACAATCTTGGTTACCATCCCTTAAGTGCTGCTGACTTTGGAAAGATCATGAAAAACGTCTTTCCAAACATGAAGGCACGGCGTTTGGGCACTAGAGGCAAATCTAAATATCCTTCACCAGAATGTTATCAGTAGCTGCTTAGGGTCTTACTTGTAGTTTATCTACCATTAAAGTTCTATGTTTAGAAATAACTTGAAAACAGAAACAAGGTACCGAGCCCAGCACCAGTCACTCATAATCCTAGTTACTCAGGAGGCTGAGATCTGAAGATCACAGTTTAAAGCCAGCCCAGGCAGGAAAGTCCATGAGACTCTTATCTTCAATATACTACTCAGAAAAAAACACAAGTGTTGTTGTGGCTCAAGTGGTAGAGCGCTAGCCTTGAGCTGAAGAGGTAAGGGACAGCGTTCAGGCCCAGAGTTCAAGCTCCATGACTGACAAAAAATAAGAAAGAAAACAAAATACTGAGTAAAATACTTACCAATGTTACTTTCCCAGTCAGTAACTAAAGTAGTGAGATAGTAATAAATTTTACCTTTCTCTGTGACTGGAAAGTTTTGGTCTCTTTTGCTCTAACAATAAAAATTAGGGAGAAATGACGTATTTTCAGCAATTGCATATTACATTAAAAGAAGCAGAGAAATATGTTAGCCTCTCTCCTTTCCCTCCTCTAATTTAGTAACTACATATCTCCTTGGTAGGAGTAATAATAATGTTACGGGAGTGATGATGATAATGCAGATAATGATACATTCAAAGTCATTCTTACGAGATTGTACTAAAAATTAGTGTTTAAAGTAATTTTAGCCAGCTATTTAAGGCCTATATTAAAATTAAAAGAGGGGCACAGAAAAGGTCCCTTTTTTTTTTCTTTTCTTTTTTTGTTTTTTTTTTGTTGGTTGTGAGGCTTTAACTCAGAGCTTGGGCGCTATCCCTGAGCTTTTGTGTTCAAGACTAGTGCTCTACCACTTTGAGCTACTTGCATTTTTCCAGTGGTTAATTGGAGATAAGAATCTCACGGATTTTGCTGCCTGGGCTAGCCTTGAAAACCATGATCTTTATATCTCAGCTTCTGGAGCAGTTAGGATTACAGATTACAGGCGTGAGCTACTGGTGCCTGGCAGAAAAGGTCCTTCTTGTGACAAGAAGACACACAGGGACAAACAGAAGTAAGGAAATGAAAATTCAAAATTTTTTAAAAAATGTTTTCACTCTTGGGAAAAGGTTGTAAACTAGAGGGTCTCTGTTCTTAGAAATATGCTCATTTTCTCTGTGCTGAGCTTCTGATCTCTTCGCAGCATAGGCTTAGTTACTGTGGAGGAGCTGAGGAAGGACAGGCAGAATGTGGCCGTTCTCAGGCGTTTCCAGGTGTTGCTGAGACACTTGCTACATGACCTAACCTTGTGTCCGGAACACAGAATGTCTTGATGTGTTTTTGGCCTGTTACCGGTGATAATCCTGTGTGATTCAGTGGAAAAAGAGAAATGAAAAGGTTAAAGCCCTTGTGACACTCTCTTACGAGCTGTTTTTGTCCCCGTGCCCTGGGCTAAAGTTTCTTTTCCCTGTGCCAGGTTTCCATCTTGGCTATTCCTTTACTTCTGACCTGTTTGTTACTGGTGGCTGGAATAGCGTCTTAGGAACAGTAATTCTCAGTATTTGTAACACATGAGAATAATTCAATCGACAACAGTAATAATGCACATTGTCTGAGAATAATTACAGTTTTAAAAAATGTCCTGAGAGGGCTGGGAAGGTAGCTCAGTGATAGAGCGCTTGTCTTGCATGCAAGAGGCCCTGGGTTCAATTCCTCAGCACCACATAAGCAAAAAGAAAAAAAGCCGGAAATGGCACTGTGGCTCAAGTGGTAGAGCGTTAGCCTTGAGCTGAAGAGCTGAGGGACAACGTGCAGGCCCAGAGTTCAAACCCCATGACTGACCCCCCCCACCAAAAAAAAAAAAGTGTTCTGAGAGACTAGGCACTGGCGGCTCACACCTGTAATCCTAGCTTAGCTACTCGAGAGGCTGAGATCTGAGAATTTTGGTTCAGAGGCAGCCTGGGAAAGTCCATGACACTCTTATCTCCAATTAACCACCAAAAAGCCAGAAATGGAGCTATAGGTGAAAGCACTAGCCTTGAACAAAAAAGCTCAAGAACAGCACGCAGGCCCTGAGTTCAAGTCTCACAACCAACCAAAAAAAATACATATATATCCTGAGTTTCTGATATTCAGCTTTTCTAATGAAGAATCTAGAAAGTAGGTATTATCTCATGCTGGGGTTATCTGTCTCTATAGGCAGTCCATTTTCTTTAGTGTACTTTCAACCTTAACTCTCTGTTACATATTGCTACAGTGGACTAAGGAAAAAAGCTTTTGTTCATATGCCAACACTGCCCAACCTTGACTTTCACAAAACTGGAGATGGGGTAAGAATTCTACCATTTCTTTTCAGTAAGTAGAATCACACCTTTATAACAATTGAAAAGCACCTTGCACAGTTGGATTTGGATAAAACCAGGAACTGTGTGCCTTTTACAGATAATTGAGCAGAAGAAGGTATTAGTGTGTGTGTTCTACATCATCATGAAAATCAGGAGAACAAAGACTTAAAGTTGTGTCTTAAAGATGTGTCCATGATAGGTCTTGACTATGTGTGAGAGAGAGAGAGTGTGTGTGTGTGTGTGTGTATGTGTGTGTTCAAGAAGGAAAATGTTGTAAAGTAGCTGTTGTATAGTATGTATAGGATAAAATTGTAGAAAATGTGGCTATTAGCATAATTGGATTTTTCACATGAGCCAGTGCTTCTAATTTAGAAAGACCAAACACATCTGGGAGTCCCCATAGATGTTCAACAGCCACTTACAGTGTTGTGTTTACCGTGTGCTGGTGGTCAGCTCTGCCAGTAGTCACTCCCACTGTTTGACCCTTCCGATTCAAATTGTATCCTCTCTTGAGAAGGCCAACTTTTAATGTGCTTCAGTTATCTCTCTGAACTTTTTTTTTTTTTCTTATGTTAACTTTTCCTTTTTCCTTTGTTTAGTTGGAGGGCACTGAACCTTCTGGGCAGCTTCAGAATATTGATGAGGAAGTTCTGTCTTCTGCTGGCCGACTTGTGTGTGAATGGGCCCAGAAGGTGTTAAGCCAGCCATTCGACACAGTCTTGGAGTTAGCCCGCTTCCTTGTAAAAAGTCACTATATAGGTACCAAGTCAATGGCAGCACTGACTGTCATGGCAGCAGCACCAGCAGGTAGGAAGTTATTGCTAAGCAGAAGGTGTGCTTGAAAAGGTCGTACGAGTTGGACTTGAGTTCATTCTTTCTCTACTTTACACGAATCACACATGGGTTTGTGAAGCCAGCAATCAAAACAGTCCTTTCAGAGTAGAGCTTAATAGAATACTTGCATAACTGCTCTGCTGCAACATGAAACTATTTGGATTCCCCCTACTGATTATTTTCTTATTGCTGTTTTTTTTAATGTGAAGAATGTGTATCTAAGTACTTTGAAATCTGTTTACCAGATTACATATTAGAAGTAAAATAAGATGAAATTTATAAGTGATATGCTTGACTCCTATCGCAGAAACTAAGCTTATAAATGAAGTAGTCTTTGAACATAATGATTGGTAACTTGGTCTCACAAAAAGCAAACTGTGAAGTTTTAGTATAAAACTCTATAGATTGATACATAGATGACTCTCTCCTAAATTAATAATTGTGTAAAGTATCAGTTCAAATGAACATAAAACTTGTTTGCCAAGATGATTCTTCTAAGTGCTAACTCTATAATAGGTTTAATCTACAATAGATTTATTCTGTTCATAATTTTATGGGATTTGTATGTATGTGCATGTAATGTGTCCTCTTGTTTTATAATCAACTGAGACCTAGTTTCAGAAAAATAGTTTCTTTTAAGAGCTAGCCATAACTTTGTCTGAATGTATGTAAACTGTGCGTGTCTTAAAACTTCATTTGCTTAAACTTACACACCAGCAGGACAGTGCTTGATCAGACACGTAGCTGGCCATGTAGCTGACATATGTTAACTCATTTCATTCCTGAAACATTCCTGTGAAAGATGAAATTTTCATTCCTGACACACAGATCAGGAAACAGATTCCAGAAGTTAAGTAGCTTATCCATGGTCAGATAAGGGATGGGGCCAGGATTTGAGTCCTGATATGTTTGTCTCCACAGTCTAGGTTAATTCTGTTATATCTATTATCTTTTCTTCTGGCAAAGGTATGGGCCCTGTAATTTCCTTTTTCTCTTTCTCCTCCTCCTGTTGGTACTGAGAAGATACTAGAACATACTGAGGAAGCATCAAGGGGAATTATCTGTTATCTCCCACATTATTCACAAGTCTAACTCAAATGCTGAATGAAGAGAATGAATTTCCAAGGCATAAGAGTAAATAAACAGTTCTTTTTATTGTTAAAAATACTAAAACATACACATATAAACAGGTTTTCAAAGCAGTTAGCTAGGAACATTATTTTACCAGTTCTATCATTAGTTAAAATAGCTTTTTAGTCCCTTGAAATGCAGATACAAGACCTTATTACATTATTATATATATACATTATATATATATACATACACACACACACACACACACACACACACACACATATATCCTTTTTGGTAAATCAAGTTTTGTTTTTTGAAGGCAAATTTGGGGTTTTTTTGTAAATGCAGTCTCCAGGTGAAGGAGAGCTTGTGTTACAAATGTCCTTTTTGTAAGTCAGCTGCTTGGATCTCACTCCTGTCTAGAAACCCTGGCAGGGGGAAAAGAGCCAAGTTGTGAGCCATTGGCAGAGGCCCTCCTGGGTGCAGGTGCTCCAAAATGGAACTGAGGCTGGGCCAGGGCAAACTAATACTCAGTGGTAAAGAAGGCCAAAAGATGAGGGGCAAGTGACCTAAGAGAGAGAATGAGTAGATGGGAGGGGGCAGTAGTTTCTTCCTTCTCTTCCCTGTCTTCCAACCCCTTCTCTCCATTCTTTTCCTTCCCCTCTCCTTTGTTCCTCTCCCCTCTGCTCCAGATTGTTGCTGTGCACTAGAACTGCCGAAAAGCAGACCAGCTGGGGCAGGCTAGATAGGGTTACCAGCATCAGCAGGATGGTGCTTCTCTCCCCTTCCCATTTGACTACCGTACACAGCTTACTTCTAATTACCTTAATGTTCTCTACGTATGAAAAGTGCTTTTGAAAAGATTACTTTTATTATATAACCCATCTTTCTTAAGCTAAAATTTATATCTTACTGGAAATGTGGCCCAGCCTTGTAGCACTTTGCTTAGCCTGAGCCAAGACCTTTGGTTTGATCCCAAGCATCAAGAAAAAAGTTAACATGTCTTGCTTACTGAGTCTCTTACTGAATTCTCTCGATATAAGATATATAGATGTAGGTATGCAAACACATCAGTCACCTTATTACTATTCAAAAACATTTCTCAGTGACACTTTCCAGACTAACTTAATAGTCTTACTATGAAATTCTGCTTCATGAATTTTAGATCATACCATATCATAGCAATTATAATGTCAGTGCTTATTTCTGTACATTTCTGTTAAGATTAAAAATTTACTTTGGCCTGCAGACTTTTTTCCCCCTAAAATAGGGAATTGTTTCAGCAAATACTGAGTATTCCTAGTGGGCTGAATATTAAAAGTCATGAAAATGCATGAACTTCATTCTAATTAGAAAAATGGACAATCTGATAAAATGTAAAAGTGCTCTCAGCACATATTTGTGCTTCAGCTTTACACATTTATGGCATAGCGATTCTTTGTTAGCTGCTATTGTTGAATTAACTGAAACTGTCGCCCTAGTCAAACTATTTTCAGATGTCAAAACCATGTTGACAAATGTTTATAAACTGAAGTCTGATAGTTAGCGTTGTAAAGAAATATAGTGAAAATCTGCTGTCTCAGTAGTTTTGTCCAGTAGATGTCTATACCCTTTCAAAGAATATGTAACTTCCTTCTACAAAAGAGAATGTAATATTTTACCTTTCCTTTCTGCTTATTTTCAGGAATTAAAGGAATCACCCAGCCTTCTGCTTTTATACCTACGGCGGAAAGTAATTCCTTTCAGCCGCAAGTGAAGACTTTGCCATCCCCAATTGATGCTAAACAGCAATTGCAACGGAAAATCCAAAAAAAGCAGCAAGAACAGAAACTACAATCCCCTTTGCCAGGAGATTCCCCAGCAAAAAAATCAGAAGGCACTTCCACCAATGGAGTGGCTAATCTTCCCAATGGAAACCCAGCGATCCTTTCTCCTCAGCCCATCGGCATTGTTGTGGCAGCTGTCCCCAGCCCCATTCCGGTAATAAGACTAAATATTAGTATTGGTCTTCTGGGAGGGTAGGACGTCAGTCATTTACTGAAAAGTGGCAGATGAGAAGATAAGTATATATGTAGAAACAATTATAAACTGGCTTTTTAGTGCCAGATTCCCCTGTAATCATGATCTTTCACTCAGAATGGATATTGTTGATTTCATAAGAAGCTACAAAATGAATGTAAGTAAAAATATGAAGATCCAGCCAGGCACTGGTGGCTTACTCCTGTAATCCTAGCTACTTAGGAGGCTGAGATCTGAGGGTTGTGGTTCAAAGCCAGTTGGGCAGGAAATTCTGTAAGATTCTTATCTCTAATAAACTACTCAAAAAAGCCAGAAGTGGCACTGTAGCTCAAGTGGTAGAGTGCCGACCTTGAATGAAAGAAACGGTAGGGACAGCACTCACATCCAGAGTTCAAGCCCCAGGACTGGCAAAAAGAAAAAGAAAAAAGAAGATAAACCAGCCCAGGCAGGAGATTCTTATCTCCAATTAACCACCTAAAAACTGGAAGTGAAGCTGTGGATCAAAGTGCTAGAGTGCTAGACTTGATCAAAAAAGCTCAGGGACAGTGCCCAGAGGGCACTGTCTATAAACAACAATGAATAAAAAAATATTAAAAAAATAAAAATAAAAAAAGATCCAGCCAGGTGCCGGTGGTTCACACCTGTAATCCCAGCTACTCAAGAGATTGAGATCTGAGGATTGTAGTTTGAAGCCAGCCTGGGCAAAAAAGTCAATGAGATTCTTAGCTCCAATTATTCACAGAGAAAGCTGGAAGTAAAGCTCTGGCTCAAGTGGTAGTGCACTAGCCTTGAGCCAGCAACAGTGCTCAAGAAGCTCAGAGACAGTGCCCAAGCCCTGAGTTCAAGTCCCAGGACCAGCACAAAAAAGATCTAAGATATATAAATTGTACATATAACCAATCAGAGCTTTAAGAGTGAGTTATTATCCAAGTTGTTTCATTCCTGGCTGAATTAGGAAAGTATAACTATAACTCTATCTTTGACTTAAACTTTTTTTTTTAAGATTCATGTGGATCATGTGTTGATAATTTAATGTAGGCCCTTCTCTGTGGCTAGCTGGAGATAGAACACTGGGCAAGTCTTGTAGCTACGCTGAGTTCATTTCCTTCTCTACGAGTGGAATTGTCTCTTCTCCTGTCTCACACAACTGAAGTTATGATGAAGGGGCTTTAAAGTGAGAGTACATGCTACTAAAGTAAAGTGATTTCATTATTACTGATAACATTATTAAGGAGACATTTGTCTTGTCGTGTTTTCTCTTGTCATTACCTTATTGTCATACCATTAAGTAGCAGCTGACCGTACTGTTCACTGTAGAGCACACTCCTTCCCAGTTTTGCCTGAGACCTGAACCACAGTGGTTTAGTTGCTGAAGTTCAGGGTAGACCTATTTATAGGATGGTTTGTCTCCGAGAGTAAACTTTCTTCTTGGCATGAGTACCACATACTTGATACTGTGATCCTCAGATTTTATCTCTTCTTCCTAAAAATTCATTCTTTCAGCAAGCACTTGCCCCAAATCTGAAGCTCTTGGTCTTACTATCTTAATAGTCTTCCTCTGTACTATTACATTGTCTAAACATGTTGCATTGAGCTTACATACCAGTATTTGAGTGCCTGGTTGTATAGAACTGATCTGAAAAGGAGTCTCTTCTATATACAAATGGCCTTTTTTTCTTTGTACCATTAACATTTAATAAATGGCCTAATGCTGTAGGCATGCGCGTTACTATTTCTAGCCTAGACCAGATAAGTCTAATCTACCCCCCCTCCACCTTCTCTGTTCTCAGGTCCAGCGGACCAGGCAGTTGGTAACTTCACCAAACCCAATGAGTTCTTCTGATGGCAAAGTCCTCCCCCTCAACGTACAGGTGGTCACTCAGCACATGCAGTCTGTGAAACAGGCACCAAAGACCCCTCAGAACGTTCCGGCCAGTCCTGGCGGGGACCGTTCTGCCCGCCACCGTTACCCTCAGATCTTACCCAAGCCAGCCAGCACCAGTGCGCTCACCATCCGCTCTCCAACCACCGTCCTCTTTACTAGCAGTCCCATCAAAACCGCTGTGGTGCCCGCGCCACATGTCAGTTCTCTAAACGTGGTGAAAATGACAACAATATCCCTCACACCCAGCAGCAGCAATGCCCCTCTCAAACCTTCTGCCTCAGTCAGCAGTGCTCCAGGAGCGACAGAAGAATCCAGGAGCATCCCCCAGATCAAGAATGGCTCTGTTGTTTCTCTTCAGTCTCCTGGGTCCAGGACCGGCGGCACTGGGGGAACTTCTGCTGTGGAAGTCAAAATGGAACCTGAAGGATCATCAGATGAGCATCCCCCGCCATGCCAAGAGAACTCTGATGGGACTAAAGCCCCCCAGACAGCGCCCAGTGTGCTTTCGGGGCAGAAAAGCAATGCAGATGGAATGGGACAGAAGCCCTCAAGTGAAGGTGTTGCTGAGGGGAAAGCGGCAACCAAGGCCTGCGACCAGAGGACCAAATGTAAAAGTCGCTGTCATGAAACCCTGCCGGGCGCCTCACCAGGCAATAATCAAAGCACTGTCACGCTCTCAGTTGCTACTCAGAACTTACCTTTCACCAGCACCAGCTCACCAACCAATGGTGACGCAATAAATAAAGACTCTAAATTATGCACTAGAAGTCCCAGAAAACGACTGTCTTCTACACTGCAAGAGTCCCAGGTGCCTCCTGTCAAGAAACCAATCGTGGAACAGCTTTCCGAAGTTGTCATGGAAGATCAGAAACCGGGCAGTGTTAAGAACGACCAAAAGGTTCCACATTCAGGTAAAACTGAAAGTTCAACAGCAGGTGCTCCAATTCCTACCACACTGTCAGTCAGTATCGAGTCACACATGGTAGAAAATCAGCCCTTGAGTTCTTCTGCTCTTACTGCCAGCGATTCTACTCTGGAACAGCAAATAACACCATCCTCATCTCCAGATATAAAAATAAAACTTGAAGGGAATGTCTTTCTCTTGGACCGTGATGGCAGCTTTAATCCAAATGAATGGCAGCAAGTCCCCAAGGATTCTGAGTTCATGTCTGGCAGCTGCGAACCACAGCAAGATATCAGTGTTATGGCAATTGCCGAGCACTCTGATATCCACGATTTAGAGAAATCTGTTTGGGAATTGGAAGGAATGCCGCAGGAGACATACAGTCAGCAGCTACATAGCCAGATACAAGAATCTTCTTTGACTCAAATACAAGCACAGTCTTCAGATCAGTTACCTCTGCAGTCTGAATTGAAAGAGTTTGAGCCTTCTGTTTCCCAGACAAATGAGAGCTACTTCCCTTTTGATGATGAACTGACACAAGACAGCATTGTGGAAGAGCTGGTGCTTATGGAGCAGCAGATGTCAATGAACAGTTCCCACTCTTACGGTAACTGCTTGGGAATGGCCCTTCAGAGTCAGTCAGTTACTCCAGGAGCGCCAATGTCATCTCATGCCTCCAGCACGCACTTCTACCATCCGATCCACAGCAATGGCACTCCAATTCACACGCCCACCCCCACCCCCACTCCAACCCCAACATCTGAGATGATTGCTGGGTCTCAGAGTCTGTCACGGGAGAGCCCATGCTCCAGGCTGGCTCAGACTACACCTGTGGATAGTGCTTTAGGAAGCAGTCGACATACACCCATTGGTACTCCACACTCAAACTGCAGTAGCAGCGTCCCCCCCAGCCCCGTTGAATGCAGGAATCCATTTGCATTCACCCCAATAAGCTCCAGTATGGCATATCATGATGCCAGCATTGTCTCCAGCAGTCCTGTGAAACCAATGCAGAGGCCCATGGCCACACACCCTGATAAGACCAAGCTTGAATGGATGAATAATGGGTATAGCGGGGTGGGTAGTTCGTCAGTTTCTGGCCATGGCATTCTCCCCAGCTACCAGGAACTGGTGGAAGATCGTTTCAGGAAGCCTCATGCTTTTGCCGTGCCTGGCCAGTCCTACCAGTCTCAGTCCAGACATCATGACACTCACTTTGGCCGTTTGACTCCTGTCTCCCCTGTGCAGCATCAAGGTGCCACTGTGCACAGTACCAACAAGCAGGAGGGGTTCGCGGTCCCCGCCCCACTTGATAATAAAGGAACAAATTCATCCGCCAGCGGCAACTTCAGGTGTCGGAGCGTGAGTCCTGCTGTCCATCGCCAACGGAATCTTAGTGGAAGCACCCTCTATCCCGTGTCTAATATCCCAAGATCTAATGTGACCCCCTTTGGAAGTCCAGTCACCCCAGAGGTTCATGTTTTCACCAATGCGCACACAGATGCATGTGCCAACAACATAGCTCAGAGAAGCCAGTCGGTTCCCCTGACCGTCATGATGCAGACAGCGTTCCCAAACGCTCTCCAAAAGCAGACAAACAGTAAGAAAATAACCAACGTTCTGTTGAGTAAACTTGATTCTGACAGCGATGACGCAATGAGAGGCTTGGGAATGAACAACATGCCCTCCAATTACACAGCCCGGATGAATCTCACTCAGATTCTGGAAACTTCTACTGTTTTTCCTAGTGCCAACTCACAGAATATGATTGACTCCAGCACTTCTGTTTATGAATTCCAAACACCATCTTACCTCACCAAAAGTAATAGCACCGATCAGATCAGTTTTTCTCCTGGAGATAATCAAGCACAATCTGAAATTGGAGAACAACCATTAGATTTCAATAGTACTGTTAAAGACCTGCTGAGTGGAGACAGCTTGCAAACCAACCAGCAGCTGGTAGGCCAAGTAGCCTCTGAGCTCAGCAGTACTGCGTCAGATTTCTCTAGTGACATCAGGTTGTCTTCTGACCTCTCAGGCAGCATCAACGATTTGAACACCTTGGACCCAAATCTACTGTTCGATCCAGGTCGCCAGCAGGGACAAGATGACGAAGCTACACTGGAAGAATTAAAGAATGACCCTTTGTTTCAACAGATCTGCAATGAATCCATGAACTCAATGGCTTCATCGGGCTTTGAATGGATAGAAAGCAAGGACCATCCTGCTGTTGAAATGTTGGGTTAAATTGTGTTTTATAATATGTAGCACACTGTATCTAAAGACATATGTATTGTATTTGTCTTAATGGAAGTGCCTCCCGCAGCAGAAACACTTACTATTAATTGTGACATTTTTAAAAGCGTTTGCTGCAGAAGTGGTTTCTTCGTCAGTAGGAAAGGAAATGGTTAGACTCGCCTCAGTTCTGAACACGTTTCTGAAGACAGTAGGCTGTAGAAGAACAAGTATTAGGTTTTAAATTTTCTGATGTTCCCCCATTTAATCACATTGTTTGCTAGTAAAGAATCGACTTTCCAGGTTTTACAAGAGCAGTCTAGGGCTTTATTTTATATAAGTTTGTTTTAATTCATCAGTTGCATACCCCGAATTTAGAAAGTAGCATCAGTTGTAGGAATAGGGTCTCCTCTTGTCAGCATTGTTTTGTAGGTATGAAATCATAGGCCCCTCCCCCCACCCCCATGTGAAGTGTAGACAAGCGAGTCCTCCTCGACACGGATAATATTCAGGTGATTATAAATATTGAGGCTTGAAGCATTAAAGCTACTGTAGAAGGAAAAATCTCTGTAGGACTTTTCTCGGGCTTCAGTACCATTCACTCCCACAATGAAGGGCTTACTCAGAAGATGATGGGAAATCAAAATGCTAATTTAAGGAAAGTGAAAGCTGCACTAAAATCTTTAAGAGGAAAACAAGTAGCCATTTATATTTGTGACCTTGCATTAATCTGATTTTAAAACACTGATTTTAACATGGAGCTAATGTGTATGCGCACACACACACACACACACACACCCTCCAGATGTTGTCATTTAATAGACTGAGCAGAGGCATATTGGAAAACTGTTCCATGTTTCAAGATTTACTATATAGTAGTTGAGAGGGTTTGTAGAAGGAAAGGAAAAGCATTTTCTTAGTTTCATCACAAAGGCTGCATATACATATTGAAATTTTATTTAAGATTTCTTTTTAAATGTTTTCCCTATGCTACTCTTTAGTAACCAGCTTTGTTTTTCCTCTTGGGTTTGCTGACTGACTCCTTTGTTCCTCCTGAATGTGGTAGTAAAATTTGATTATGGGATCCGCTTAAAAAACAAGCAGGCAGGAGGGAACATTAAAGCCGAGCAGAAGAAAACAAACAAGCAAGCATTTCACCACCTAAGGTCTGAAGCCACAAATCTTTATATCTCTGATAAAACAAAGGGGATAATAATAGTACTTGAAAAAGAGGAACGTTTTATTACATGCTTAATTTATTTATTGTGATAAACACAATTGCAAAATAAGCAAAGCACTCAGGATTTGTTTTAAAATGTTTCTCTCTATAGCTCCCATTTTGTTTTATAAGTAGTATTTATGAATTTCATGTTGACACAAAGCTCCTCGCTAGTGGACAGCTCCATTTAGGTGAGTTTCAAGATCACCTCTAAAAGAGATTTTTTAAATTGACGTTAAGTTTTGAAAGCTAACATTAAATCGTTTGCTATATATACTACCTTGAACCTAGCTCTAGCTAAGCTTTTCTTTACCTTAATTCGTAAACTGATCAGAAAACTACAATCAATGAATATTTAATAGATGTGATGAAGGGTTTCATTTAATAAGGTTTCGCTGTTGGATAAATTTGAAGGTAGGGTATTAACATATTTTGATAAATAAATGGTGCTAGGGTTGGCTCAGAGGTTTATATGTCGCTATGTCCTAGTTATTGGCATTTGTATGTGTTCGCTGTTAACTTGATTTAATGCTTTGTTAGATTGTTTCTAGATGCTAGGTATTTCTTCACTGTACATCGAGACACAGCACTACTGCGCACCAAAGTATGCAATACCCAAAGGAAACTGTGTGACTTCTTTTACAAATGATGGGAGCCTTTCTATATGAGATACTCTGAAAAGGAGATTTTTGAGGCCATTCTAATCCCTTGTTTACATTATTAGCTTCCTACTAATAAAAAAAATAATGAAAATCTTTTTTGATAAAAAACATATTAGAGAGAGAGAGACTGGAGGATTTTTACCCACCATGTATAGTATTGCAGCAAACTCTTTGAATTTGGCTGAATTCGTCCAGCAAACTTTCTGGGGTTCATATATTGCACTAAATTTGTTGAACCTGTGGTAGGCACATCTCTTAGGATAAATGCAACCAGTACAATCCACAGATTAAACTTTTTAAATGTGTTTCATTATGAAAAAGACAAAATGTCATCCAAGTGACAGATGAAATTGTCTTATGTAGCAATGTGCATTGATCTCAATGAGATATTTCTATTTCTTATTCTCTTACATGAGAATATTCCAGCAGGAAGAATTAAGTTTAGTTTGCTTCACCATGTTAAATACATGCTCACAAATGTGCATGAGTGTTATCGACTTATCTTGTACAGTACTAGGAATTCCTGTAACCACTTTTCCCCCCCTTGGCTGTATTGAAACTGGTTCATTGTTAACCAGGAAAGCATAGTTATTCACAAGTTATTTACTTTTTTTTATGTTTACTAATTCTACTTAGTTGTTGAATACATTCTTGGATTCTTTCCATCATTTTGATGTTTCAAACATTTTGCATACTGTTTATCATGATAAGACTTCATGAAGTAAATAATTTTGCATATAATTGCAATAAGCACTGACTTTTGAACTGAAAAGAAGGAAAGTGGGGTTTTTTTGTGTGTGCAGTGCATCTGAGGTTTCAAATAATAGTCTTGTACTACAATGTGCTTTACTACACCATAAGAGACAGAAGCAAGCCCTGTTTCATGTTTTCATTGAGTGCAAAAGGTCAGACTTCCCCAGTGTTCTGTTGTCTGTTGTACCTGCTGAAATGACAGTAGTTGATATTGCAGTAGCATTTCAGTTCTCTTTTTTTATTAAAAGTGCTCAAAATTGTTTTTTAAATGTTTTCAAAGATGATTAAAGACATTTTATATTAAACTGACTGGTTCTTTTTTTTTTTTTTTTTTCGGTCGTGGGCTTGAACTCGGGGCCTGGGCGCTGTCCCTCAGCTCTTCAGCTCAAGGCAAGCGCGCTACCACTTGAGCTACAGCCACTTCCGGTTTTCTGGTGGTTTATTGGAGATAGGAGTCTCACAGCCTCTCCTGCCCGGGCTGGCTTTGAACCGCGATCCTCAGATCTCAGCCTCCTGAGTAGCTAGGATTACAGGCGTGAGCCACCAACGCCCGGCTAAACTGACTCGTTCTTAAGGTGTTTTGTGCAGTGCATATTGTATAGGCAGTAGCATATGCCAGTTTGTAAATAGGTAGCATACTTCCCTTCAGCTTATGAAACTTGGGGGTGTAGATAAGAATGGCACCAGGCAAGGCCATGGAGCTGGTGACTCAATGCCTGTAATTCTAACTATTCAGGAAGCTGAGATCTGAGGATCACAGTTCAAAGCTGGCCCAGGCAGGAAAGTCTGTGAGACTCTTTATCTCCAACTAACCAATAGAAAATCAGAAGTAGTGCTGGGAAGGTGGCTCAGTGGTAGAGTGCTTGCCTTATATGCTTGAGGCCATGGGTTCGATTCCTCAGCACCACAGAAGCAGGGGGGGAAAAAGCCAGAAGTGGTGCTATGGCTCAAGTGGTAGAGCGCTAGCCTTGAGCTGAAGAGCTGAGGGACAGTGCCCAGGCCCAGAGTTCAAGCTCATGACTGGACCCAAAAAAAAAAAAAATCAGAAGTAGAGTTGTGGCTCAAAGTGGTAGAACACTAGACTTCAGCAAAGGAGCTCAGGGACATCTCCTGGGCCTTGACTTCAAGCACCATGATAGAACAAAAAAAAAAAAAAAAAGTGGCACTGGACAGAATAGACCTGCTGATCTACTCTGCTGTGAATCCCAGGGAACTGAGGGATCTTATTTTATTCTTTGGTTTTCTGTTTCTCACTTTGCTTTATGTTGGCGAGAAGCCATCTTTTCTTTTGCTTTTTCACATGATAGTTGCTTGCAAGTGTTGGTATGGGAAGGGCCTTGGACGTGAATCTGAACCATTGAATAGAAAATACGAAATGAGCCAGACTCTGTCTGGTAGCTCACTCCTGTAATCCTAGCTACTCAGGAGGCTAAGATCTGAGGATTGTGGTTCAAACCCAGCCCAGGCAGGATAGTTTGTGTGAATCTTACTTACAATTTATGACCAGAAAACTAGAAGTGGCACTGTGGCTCAAAGTGGTAGAGTGCTAGCCTTGAGCAGAAAGGCTCAGGAATAGTGCCTAGGCCCACCACCAAAAAAAAAGAATAATAAAGGCCCAGGTGTTGCCATGAGCCAGAAATAGAGAATTATTACAAGCAGGCAGAAATTTCACTTCCTACCAAATAGTGAAACCAAAACCTGACATGGAATGTGCTCATTCTTGAAAGCCAATGTCTACAACTGCGTATACATGTGGTCCTTCAATGGCTTGTGTGCAGGGGGAGATCTGATTTGCTGTGTCTGTCCTAATACCTTTAGCTTTGCTTTATTGGGCAAAGCACAGAATAGTCATGGTCACAATATGGCTTCCAAAACTCAAATGTATCCTTTACATCCCGAGTAGGGTTACGAAAGATGGTTCTCATGGCTTTTTATCTAAAAGGGGGGGAAAATCTTGAGTGCCCCCACTGGGCATTCCACACATCCTTGTAGTCTCATTGGAAGCCAATTATGTAGCTTAGCTTCTTGATTTACCCTTCCTGGCTAGAGAACGACCCTGGAATGACAAGGAAAATTCGGGAGACAGTTAAGAAGCTTGGTCACTCTGTGTGTGTTTGTGTGTGTGTGTGTGTGTGTGTGTGTCATATGATACGTATTATGAAGTATATATGTATACTTAAACATATGTAGAGCCGTTACCTTCTGATAAACCCAGAAAGGTTTTGATAAGGACTGTAATTGGAAGTCTAAGTTTATAGTTTAGATACCACCAGTCCTAGGGTTTGAACTCAGGACCAGGGCTCTGTCCCTAAGCCTCTATGGGCTCATGGCTAACGCTCTACCTCTTGAGCCACAATGCCACTTCTGGCTTTTTAGATGTGGTACTAAGGAATCTAACCCAAGCTTCGTGCATGCTAGGCAAGCGCTCTATCACCGAGCCACATTCCCAGCCCCTTGCCACCTTTCTATAAGCTGAAAAGTTGGGCATTCTCCTAAGGGCAAATTTCCTCAGCTCCTATTAGTATTTGGAAGACCACATTTTTCCTTTGGTTATAAACGTGTGAAGTAAGTGGATTCGTATGTATTCTTTATGAGTTTTTAAGGTACACATTTGAAGAAGGAATCACTATATAACCTGAATTTGTGTTGTGGGCCGGTCCTATAACTTGAACTCAGTGCCTGGTACTTTCCTTCAACTTTTCTCAAGGCTAGTGCTATACTATTTGAGCTACAGCTCCACTTCCAGCTTTCCAGTGGTGAATTGGAGGTAAGAGTTGCAGACTTTTTTTTTTTTTCTCTCAGTCATGGGGCTTGAACTCTGGGCCCGAGTGCTGTCCCTCAGCTCTTCAACTAGGCAAGCACTCTACCACTTGAGCCCAGCACCACTTCCGGTTTTCTGGTGGTTAACTGGAGATTAGAGTCTCAGGGACCTTCTTGTCTGGGCTGGCTTTGAACTGTGATCCTCAGATCTCAACCTCCTGAGTAGCTAGGATTACAGGCATGAGCCACTGGTACCTGGCTTTAACCTGAAAAAAAATTTAAGAAGTACCATTTCTGGAGCTATAATATAGGAGAGAATAGGAAAATATTTAAAAAATACCTTTAGGGCTGGGAAGGTGGCTCAGTGGTAGAGTGCTTGCCTTGCATGCATGAGGCCCTGGGTTCGATTCCTCAGCACCACATAAGCAGGGGGAAAAAAGCCAGAAGTGGCGCTGTGGCTCAAGTGGTAGAGCGCTAGCCTTGAGCTGAAGAGCTGAGGGACAGCGCCCAGGCCCAGAGTTCAGGCCCCATGACTGGCAAAAAAAAAAATAAAAATAAAAAATACCTTTAGCCCCTGGTTCTTAGCTGGAGAGCCATCTGAATGAAGCTTCTCTTGTAGCTAGATGTTGAGTCCAGTAACTCTACTATCTTTGAAGTGTTCCTGCCCCTTCCCCACTTCTGGAATGCAGCTTCCTTGGACTTTGAGGTTTAAAAAAAAAAAAAAAAAACACAGTTAAGAATGGTGACACAGGACAGAAGGAACTTGATGGTTTTGTGAGGGAAGCAACCTTTGCTAATCCTAACTTAGGGATCTCTTTCATGAGAACAATGTCTTTTTTGCCAGTCCTGGAGCTTGAACTCAGGGCCTGGGCACTGTCTCTGAACTACTTTTGCTGAAGGTTATAGCACTCTACCATTTGAGCCACAGTACCACTCCGGCTTTTTCTGTGTATGTGGTACTGAAGAATCAAACTCAGGGCTTCATGCATGCTAGGCAAGCACTCTACCACATTCCCACCCAGCCAGAACAATTTCTTTGTCGTGTAAGTCGTGCTTGCTTTTACTTCAAGTTACTAATTCCTCAAGAGAAATCCAAATTCTAATCAACAAAGTCACCAGCCGGCTTACCGGCAGTGGAGGTAAAGAATGTTAGGTTAGCATGACAATCAGTATCAGAGGTTGTCTCTACCACCCAAGAAACTGGCCAGCCGAGTGCAACTCTTTATTATTGGGATGGATAAATCAAAAGATGACCTTTGAATAACCCTGATTTTAGCACAGCATTTGAATGCTCCTTGGGGGTGGAAGAGATTAGGTGGACTGTAAGCTGCTTAAACAGCTAAAGAGCATTAATGGAGCAAATTGAAAGGCAATCTAGCCTTTTGGTCATTGGTGTCAGACCTGCTCTGCCAATTACAACAGTGACCCTAGGAAAGAGCCTCCTTGCCTAGGTTACTGTAGGCTGCTCGCTATTTTTTTTTTTTTGTCGGTCGTGGGGCTTGAACTCTGGGCCTGGGTGCTGTCCCTCAGCTCTTCAGCTCAAGGCGAGCGCTCTACCACTTGAGCTACAGTGCCACTTCCGGTTTTCTGATGGTTTATTGGAGATAGGAGTCTCACGGTCTCTCCTGCCCGGGCTGGCTTTGAACTGCGATCCTCAGATCTCAGCCTCCTGAGTAGCTAGGATTACAGGCGTGAGCCACCAGCGCCCGGCTGACTGCTCGCTATTTGTTTACCTATCTTTTAATGGCTCAGCAAATGTGGATTGACTTACTCAATTTCTTTTTTTTTGTGGGGGGAAGGGGGTCCAGTCGTGGGGCCTGAGCTCTGGACCTGGGCGCTGTCCCTCAGCTCTTCAGCTCAAGGCTAGCGCTCTACCACTTGAGCTACAGTGCCACTTCCGGTTTTCTGATGGTTTATTGGAGATAGGAGTCTCACGGTCTCTCCTGCCCGGGCTGGCTTTGAACTGCGATCCTCAGATCTCAGCCTCCTGAGTAGCTAGGATTACAGGCGTGAGCCACCAGCGCCCGGCTGACTGCTCGCTATTTGTTTACCTATCTTTTAATGGCTCAGCAAATGTGGATTGACTTACTCAATTTCTTTTTTTTTGTGGGGGGAAGGGGGTCCAGTCGTGGGGCCTGAGCTCTGGACCTGGGCGCTGTCCCTCAGCTCTTCAGCTCAAGGCTAGCGCTCTACCACTTGAGCCACAGCACCACCTCCCGCTTTTTTTTTTCTGCTTATGTGGTGCTGAGGAATCGAACCCTGGGCGTCATGCATGCAAGGCAAGTGCTCTACCGCTGAGCCACCTTCCCAGCCCCTCAATTTCTTTTCTTTTTTTTTTTTTTGTGCCAGTCCTGGGTCTTGAACTTGGGGCCTGAGCACTGTCCCTGAGCTTCTTTTTACTCAAGGCTAGTGCTCTACCACTTGAGCCACAGAGCTACTTCTGGCTTTTTCTGTGTATGTAGTACTGAAGACTGGAATCCAGGGCTTCATGCATGCCAGGGCAAGCACTCTACCACTAAGCCACCTTCCCAGCCCAACT